TTTTTTTTAGTACCACCTCGGTTGAGGTTCCAAGTGAACCGTACCGTTACCAAAACGTGATGTGTAAACTCTGCTGATAAAGGATTGGCTGGAGAGAATCGTCACTACCTGCGTCACTGAACTTGAGACACACTGCAGTGGAAACGCAAACCGTGCCGACCCGAGCCGTGCCGTGCCAAGCCGAGCCGAGTCATACCACGTAGTGGAAAAGCGCCATTTAGCTGACTAGTGCTAGCCTACGCTGTATTAACAAAAACATTAATGGCATTAATAAAAACACTTGCACTGACATGTGACTCATCTGCGATTATGAACGCGATATAGCAGTGATCTATGGCTCCGTGTATTAAATGCCACTCCATCTGAAAGCACGTGATGGAGATTTACTACTAATAACAGAACCGGCATGAACGCGATATTGCAGTGATCTACGGCTCTGTGTATTAAATGCCGCTCCATCTGAAAGCACGTGATGGAGGTTTACTATTAATCACAGAAGCGGCTTTACTGACGAGATGCGCATGACAAACACATGCGATTTATCGTGCAGCCCTAAGTTTGTTTGTTGATCACAAAGTACAAGTAGATGAGGAAAACTAGGATGCCGGGTGTATTCAAAGCGCCGCCATTACTGTCTAGAGTGCGTGGAATGGTGCGCTGTGATTGGTTGAGCGGATATATCGCATTCCGCAGAGAAGGGAGACTGGCGTTTGTCGCGGTTTGGAACCAAACTCTTCATATATAAATACAGATAAATACATTTAGACCACTTAACTATTGCTATCGGGATGTGAAGAGACTTTCAACCAGCATAACAAAAAATGTTTCTTAAGACAATCACCTATTGCACCTTTAATAGGAGAAAGGAAAAGCAAGGGCCAAATGCTCAGACAGTTACATAGGCTGCGTTTACACTGGCACGAAAAAAAAATCTAATTTTTTGCTCACATCTGACACAGATCAGAATCCGTTTTTTTTGTTTTTTTTTCCGCATCCGATCTGAGCCACTTCCAAATGTGGTTTTGAATCAGATACATATCTGATAGCTGGACATCCAACCTATATCTAAACACAAATATCCGATTCCTCTCCGGTACTCCAAGCCACCACAATGCGAGGTTGACACATTTGCCCATAAAGATAGCGTTTTTCATGCACTCGCTTTTTATTGAGGTGGGAACTTTATATATAGTTAAGAAATTGCGCAACATTCAGGAGCTGGTTTTCAACCCCTGTCCCGTGAATTTTATAAATACAACAGCTTCGCTACTAAAAGCTACATTATATTTCTCCGCAATGAGGTGATAACTTGGCTGTTTTTGTAATTAAACCAACAAGCTTCACTAGTAGGCTACCGGCTCGTGCATTCTCGCTCTCTCATTAATTCATTCAAATAAATATAATCTTAGAGCGCTACTTTATTTCACTTCAGAATTCTACCTCTAACAAGCTGTAGATAAAATAACAAATTAAAATTGCCATTATTTTCTGGTCTTTATCCGTTCAGTCAGATTTTGTGCTGCAAAACATCCATGACAGCTGTTGTCCATGCTGGCAAATAATTATGGTCACTCAACCACTTGAATTATATACATAATTTTAATAGCCCAGCCATTCAAAAACCATGGATCTACCATGTGCATAGTAAAGCGATCACTGACAGTCATTTGGGGTGGGAATTAATGCAAACACGGATATCACATACCAGTCATGTCCAAAGTGAATGTTAACACAGGACAAAAAATCGAATATAGTCAAAAGATCGGATCAGTGCATTAAGAATTGCACTGTAAACACAGCCATATAGAAGAAATTACTAATCCAGGGATCTCCTGGAGAGCAACCGTCCTGCAGATTTCCGCTCCAACCCCAATTAAACACCTGAACCAGCTAATCAAGGTGATCAGGGCTACTTGATAATTACAGATAGGTGTGTTGGAACTGAAGTATGCAGGATAGTAGCTCTCCAGAAGCAGGGTAGGAGATCCCTGGACTAATCCATTTGTTTTTACCTTTTTAAAAGTATGAAAGAAAGGATTGGGAATATACATGATGTTTATAGAGATTATTAACAGCTGATTTGTGGTTTGACCTTTTCCCATCGGTCAGGACCAGAGCAGAAATCCCGCTGAGGAGATTCGCTCCTAGCTGACAGAGGGCGAGGAGGCCACGTGTCAGGACCCAGCACCGCTTTTGTATAAATTGAATTCACCATTTAGGTTTAAACTTTAGTTTTTGTTCTTTTAATACTGTTTGTGTATTCGTTATGCCTTTTTTAGGTTCACTGTCTTCATGCAAGGTTCTGTTTGCAGGTTGTTCCTATCTGTTGTATTTCTATTCATAACCAGTGAAGTGTTTTACCATTATCTGCTGTTCAGCTAGGAATTAAATGTGCAGTCTTAAACAGCGAAATGTATTTTTCACTAAGCAGCTCCTGTATCTCTGATGTCTCTACTAACAGACGAGAATTGAAATTGTTTGAGGCTTCTGGACTTTTGAATTGAGTTTTTTAAATCTCCTTTTACTCTGTTGGGCAAATAAATGTTTTTATTGAAAAGGAGAAAAGCACTAAGACGAACTTGAGTATGTGAAAAGATGGACCTGCATTTTTTTTTTTTTTATTATTCTAGACTAACGGTCTCCTGTTTCAAAGGTTAGATGCTTAGAATGGAGCAATGAAGCCAGCAGACGGCTGTCATACATGGTAATGACCTTCAAATGCACAAATCGAAGACCTTTTTGGGTCACATTAAGGCCCTTTTTGCATGCTTTTTTCCCGTTTAAGAGCGCTGTACCTTTCTGACTGCTTAACCTGCCGTGATGGTGCTAGTCCCATTTCAGACTGGGGCTGAACCCCTCAAATCCCGCTGTCCCTTGTATCTTTTGACATTGTGAACCGTTAACCTTGCTAGATACTGACCTACTTGACAGTGTAACTTGCTTGAGTAGCTTTCTATTGTAAGTGTACATATTAAAGTATATTGAAGCCAGTGGTTTAACGAATAATACTAAGAACTAGTCATTTATGAAATGCTGTCAATATGAACAAAGTCAGCAGGGAAATCTAGCCTAGGCCTCTCTTTCATTGTGAATTTAATTTCTATAACTTGCAATTATTCAATGTTTTTCTTTTTATAAATAGTTATGGTTGCAATTGTTTTCTTTCAGGCACACTGTACAGGCATGCATGGTTTTATAGATCTATTTCATTGTGAAAGCAATTCTAGATGGCAGCTTCGGCTGTGAGCTGTTATTCTTTGCCCCACTGTGGGAGTGCTATGGATGCATCTTTTTCAATTGTTCCCTTTATGATCGTTTCCGTCTGGAAAAAAATCTAACAGTATAACTGAGATGTTGTCGTTCCCAGCGTTGTTTAGACATGGCTCATAAAGACCATTAGAAGATGTTGTATTACTTTCTATGCCTTAAAGAGTTGATTGGTTTGACACATCTGTTTTTGTTTGATTAGACCTGACAACACTGTGAGGGCTTGTATGTTTCATAGTTGTTTGAATAATATTAAAAGCATTTCATTTTATTTTGAGGAGTAATGTCAGGAGATGAAATTAAACAAGAACTGAATATAACATTTGACTTGTCCTTTTTTTTTTAAATATTTTGTGTGTGTATATATATATATATATATATAGTAGGCTACCGGCTCCTGCATTCTCGCTCTCTCATTAATTCATTCAAATAAATATAATCTTAGAGCGCTACTTTATTTCACTTCAGAATTCTACCTCTAACAAGCTGTAGATAAAATAACAAATTAAAATTGCCATTATTTTCTGGTCTTTATCCGTTCAGTCAGATTTTGTGCTGCAAAACATCCATGACAGCTGTTGTCCATGCTGGCAAATAATTATGGTCACTCAACCACTTGAATTATATACATAATTTTAATAGCCCAGCCATTCAAAAACCATGGATCTACCATGTGCATAGTAAAGCGATCACTGACAGTCATTTGGGGTGGGAATTAATGCAAACACGGATATCACATACCAGTCATGTCCAAAGTGAATGTTAACACAGGACAAAAAATCGAATATAGTCAAAAGATCGGATCAGTGCATTAAGAATTGCACTGTAAACACAGCCATATAGAAGAAATTACTAATCCAGGGATCTCCTGGAGAGCAACCGTCCTGCAGATTTCCGCTCCAACCCCAATTAAACACCTGAACCAGCTAATCAAGGTGATCAGGGCTACTTGATAATTACAGATAGGTGTGTTGGAACTGAAGTATGCAGGATAGTAGCTCTCCAGAAGCAGGGTAGGAGATCCCTGGACTAATCCATTTGTTTTTACCTTTTTAAAAGTATGAAAGAAAGGATTGGCAATATACATGATGTTTATAGAGATTATTAACAGCTGATTTGTGGTTTGACCTTTTCCCATCGGTCAGGACCAGAGCAGAAATCCCGCTGAGGAGATTCGCTCCTAGCTGACAGAGGGCGAGGAGGCCACGTGTCAGGACCCAGCACCGCTTTTGTATAAATTGAATTCACCATTTAGGTTTAAACTTTAGTTTTTGTTCTTTTAATACTGTTTGTGTATTCGTTATGCCTTTTTTAGGTTCACTGTCTTCATGCAAGGTTCTGTTTGCAGGTTGTTCCTATCTGTTGTATTTCTATTCATAACCAGTGAAGTGTTTTACCATTATCTGCTGTTCAGCTAGGAATTAAATGTGCAGTCTTAAACAGCGAAATGTATTTTTCACTAAGCAGCTCCTGTATCTCTGATGTCTCTACTAACAGACGAGAATTGAAATTGTTTGAGGCTTCTGGACTTTTGAATTGAGTTTTTTAAATCTCCTTTTACTCTGTTGGGCAAATAAATGTTTTTATTGAAAAGGAGAAAAGCACTAAGACGAACTTGAGTATGTGAAAAGATGGACCTGCATTTTTTTTTTTTTTATTATTCTAGACTAACGGTCTCCTGTTTCAAAGGTTAGATGCTTAGAATGGAGCAATGAAGCCAGCAGACGGCTGTCATACATGGTAATGACCTTCAAATGCACAAATCGAAGACCTTTTTGGGTCACATTAAGGCCCTTTTTGCATGCTTTTTTCCCGTTTAAGAGCGCTGTACCTTTCTGACTGCTTAACCTGCCGTGATGGTGCTAGTCCCATTTCAGACTGGGGCTGAACCCCTCAAATCCCGCTGTCCCTTGTATCTTTTGACATTGTGAACCGTTAACCTTGCTAGATACTGACCTACTTGACAGTGTAACTTGCTTGAGTAGCTTTCTATTGTAAGTGTACATATTAAAGTATATTGAAGCCAGTGGTTTAACGAATAATACTAAGAACTAGTCATTTATGAAATGCTGTCAATATGAACAAAGTCAGCAGGGAAATCTAGCCTAGGCCTCTCTTTCATTGTGAATTTAATTTCTATAACTTGCAATTATTCAATGTTTTTCTTTTTATAAATAGTTATGGTTGCAATTGTTTTCTTTCAGGCACACTGTACAGGCATGCATGGTTTTATAGATCTATTTCATTGTGAAAGCAATTCTAGATGGCAGCTTCGGCTGTGAGCTGTTATTCTTTGCCCCACTGTGGGAGTGCTATGGATGCATCTTTTTCAATTGTTCCCTTTATGATCGTTTCCGTCTGGAAAAAAATCTAACAGTATAACTGAGATGTTGTCGTTCCCAGCGTTGTTTAGACATGGCTCATAAAGACCATTAGAAGATGTTGTATTACTTTCTATGCCTTAAAGAGTTGATTGGTTTGACACATCTGTTTTTGTTTGATTAGACCTGACAACACTGTGAGGGCTTGTATGTTTCATAGTTGTTTGAATAATATTAAAAGCATTTCATTTTATTTTGAGGAGTAATGTCAGGAGATGAAATTAAACAAGAACTGAATATAACATTTGACTTGTCCTTTTTTTTTTAAATATTTTGTGTGTGTATATATATATATATATATATATACACACACACTGTGACGTATATTTAAATATGAATGCTTATTTCCTCTATTTTTACATTTAGATTACCTTCATCGTAATTTAATAATATTGTCAGGATGTCATCTTTAGCTAATTTTATTTTTTTATGCTGTGTATTACAGTGTGATGCCTACATTTACTTGTAGCTTTTAAAATGATTTATTATAAAGTCATTAATTTCTAAACAGTAAAATTCATTTTTTGTTTTGTTTTATTTCTTTAACTTTTTAGACAATAATTTTAGACTTTTAATATCAGCCATATTGTCCGTAACAATTATCAATATATAATAATACAAACTTATTTTGTATTAAGTTTTAAGTGTTGTCCCTGTTGCTTCATGGTCTTTGTCTTTTGTTCAGCTATCCCGTCTGATAAATGTCTCCATTTTGCTTCATTTTTCAAATGTCTTCATTTTGCAAAGAGATGAAATATGAGCAATATTAGTAGTGGTAAAAAGCATTCTAGTCTGTAAACACAGAGAATGGTCGACCCTGCGTTTGTCTGCGTTGCCGCCTGTAGTTGTGTGCTAAACTCTGACTTTGCCAAAAGCGAAACGTCGCCTTCTGCCGCGTGCAACCCTGCCAAGAGGGAGTGACTGAAGCGGCGGAACGCACCGCTGCTGCCGCTTGCGCCTCAAAATTACACTGCAACCGGTATGAGAGCCATAGTTGCAGCCATAATTTTGGTATTCTTGGAGTTTATTTGACATTTAGCTTTGGATTTATTGTCGTTAACGAGACATTGCCGCGTTTGCAACTCTTATTTAGAGAAATAAAAAAATACAACTTTTGTTCCAGAGGCCATGCATAACGTGCATGCAAATTCAGGCGTCTTAAATTGCTTATGTTCACCAGTAAACATGCATAGCCGGTCTTTAAAATGCACGAGAAAGACTTAATTATAGATTATTTCAGCAGTAAAATGTGAAACCAAACCAACAGACTTGGCAGAAAAATGAGGTCAGGTTTAACTGTCACTGTCAGTGCTTCAAAATGTCCACTTGGGGGAACTAATGTCTTTATTCTTCACTGCTGCACTGTCACTCTCCTCTTACTGGGACTCCACACTAAAACTTTGATCTCAGCAGTGTTCATACCAAACAATAAATATAGCACTAGCTGAATTTTTCCTCATTTATATATATTTACCCTCTTCAGCTATAATTCAGCTTGACTGATTGATTAATTATATAAATGTTCTCAAATGAGTTATAAGGTAGTCAAAAGTTTGGACCTCTCAATCAGCGTTTAATTGTACATTAAAATTTTAAAAATATTCTGATTGAGTTAATTCAAAATATTAATAAATACTGTACTTTTAATGTAAAGCAGGGGTCTTTAACCCTTTGGTGGACAGAGAGACTGGTTCATATACTGAGTGATGAATTTGTCGCCTGGCCTATAATAGCATATTACCATATTAATGTACAGTTTATGATGCTTTTGTGAAATAATTAAAATAATCACTGTTTGTATTACATTTACATTTTACTTAATACATTTTAATGAAACATTTAGCTTCTTAACTTAGTTAATATATATACATATATATTTACATTTTTACAAGACATTTTGTTTACTACAAAATTCACATAATTCTGTTTGTGTTATTTCATAGGTTTGATGATCTTACTATTATTCTAAGCTGTGGAAAACAGTAACAAAAGAATGAGAAAGAATGAACAAGTGTGTTTAAACCTTTGACTTGTACTGTACATGTACATGAAGTTATCAACTTGAAAAGCTTTGTCTTCACTAGAAGACTATAAATAGTCTCAGCTCAGAGTAACCCATGGCCTTTACCAGAGTGTGAAACTCACTTCTGAGTGCTTCTGTATTCACACTCGGCTTCTTTAGGCCATCAGCTGCCTCACCAAACCAATCTCACTTGCAAAGTGACTCAGTTTGGTGCACCAATTATACTATAAATGATCAAATTAACAAGTGTGGATCCTGCTGGAAACAATGGCTGCTGCATTCATCTTCTTGACTACAGCCTACCAAAAAACACCCTCTTCTGCCTCTTGACTCATCATAATGTGATTATTATGCACAACACTTGAAAGGAACGGTGAAACTGCTCATAGTCTCACTGACCTACTTATAGAAGTATTAAGTCTAGTGCATTCACTCTTTTGTGAAGCACATTGGGTAGAGCATACCTACACCATTGTTTACAGGTTCATGTTACAAAACGTGAATTGGTGAGTAACAGTCCTGTGTCACTGCTGAAAGGGTGAAACAGGAAGTTGAGGGTTTTGTATTATTAGATTTCTTATTTCAATCTTAGCTTCCCAGGGCACATATATGAATAAAACTAGCTAAGGCAATCATAGCCTAACTACTATTTGTCATATTAATGAATGGGGATTTGTTTTAAACTGATGAACTTAAGTATTAGACTTAAGCTATTCTGAATGGTACCTCAAATTGTGCGGCTTGTTGAGGAAAAATGCTCTAGCATGATTTTTACTCCGCAGATAATAAAAAAAGCTAGAAAATCCTACATTTGTATTGAAGGAGGGACCCGACACATAAAAAGTGTTTTCACACTTGAAATAGTTCACCCTGGGTTTCATTCTAAACCCTGGATGAAACAAAATCCTGGGTTATTTTGTTTCACATTTCACACTATTCATACTTTATAGGGTTTACAATTAGTCTTGGGTATTTATAATCTGAAATTTCACACTGTACATTCCTAAACCCTGGTTAATGTTCTTATTTGCATATTTGCAGTGTCAGCGTCATTGATTGGATGAACGCAGCATGCGTCCTGCTTACGTAAAGGCTCTAGCATTGCGCATACTCATATTATTTTGCTGACTGTACTGTCAGGTTTTTTACCTGAATGGACTTTTCTTACTATAAAGGTAAGAATGTATGGAAGGTGGATGAGGCCAAAAGTCTTTAAATGGAACGTGTGAAATCTGACCATGTCAGTGCAGACTATTTGTCTGCATTAATACAACAACATGCACAGCAGCCAATGAAGTTACTGTATTTGAGATTATATTTGCGCATGTGATGCGATGGTACATTGGTATAGACCACATCAGATGTCATGTTTATTCATGAAGGTTGTCATAATGGTACACTTGTATGCATGTATGCAAACATCAGACATTATGTCAGTCTTATGATTTGTCATGTCCTTTTTAGTTGTTTAGTTCAACGTTCTTTCTCAGGTAGAAAAGTCTTAATTCTCATCTTAACACAGTAAAACCGTGCGTCTTTACAAGTACTAAAGAAATGTGGTGAAAACTGATGCCTTAACAGGGTCAGTATGTGCGTGTCTACACATACAAAAGAAACACATCCAAATTTGCCATGTTAATACAGACAAACAGTGTGTGTTGACATGGTCAAATTTCACGCGTTCCATTTAAAGACTTTTGGCGCCATCTGCCTTCCATAAGAAAGAAACGGTCTCTTCCTCAATTCAACTGACGCCCTTTTCCGTCACCATTTGACCATTTTCCCCTCAAACACGAAAACTACTGTTTATACAACTTGCGGCATTTCCGTGACTGTCCGACACACGTGAATATGAGGCATACAATTGGGTGTCTGTTGCTAAGCGT